AGGGAAGCCTTGCCAGATGGCTACAGCCCAGGAGCTGAGGGCAGAGGGAGTTTCTGGGGAGTTGAGAGGAGTGGCAGCAGTAGGGGGCAGAGAATCAGACAGCCCAGGAGTCTGCCTGTGGCTGGAGAGGTGGGGACTCAGGTGTCCTGTCCTGCTCCATGTATCCACTCCCCTTTTCTCCCTCCCTCCAGGACTTGTGGGTCCTGGAGCTGATTTCGGCCCCCTCGCTGGCTGGTGGAATCCAGCGCCTGCATTCCAGCTGCTGGCCAGCCCCCAATTCCTTCCTCATTTGACATCATTTGACGGAAAACAAAAACAAAAACAAAACACCTTTCAAACCCAGAGAAAAGCAGAATACACGTGCTACTTGCCACCCCTGGGGCAGCTGGGATTTTCGACAAACAAGCCCTGTCTGACCCCCAGGATCCTGGGCCACTTGCTGAGGGCCCCGGGCACCTTTCTATAGGCCAGTTAGAGTTTCATGGCTGTAACATTAGCCCTGGGCTGGTACCTGCCCCCACAGGTCGCCGCCATCTCTCCTCCTTGGCAACCCAGCTGGCTAGGAGACAAGAAGACGGGGGGGGGGGGGATGGATGGTGAGTCCTAGTAGGTGCCTGCCAGTGAGCTGAGCCTCCCCCGTCCCCCGCCCTCATCCCAAGCACAGCCCCTGGAAGTGAAAGAAATAGGTGGGCCTTGTAAAGAAAAAGAATTGGGAGCGCAGAGAGGCACCGGCGTTCCCTGGAGGCTGCACAGCAAAGAGGCAAAACTTCAGACTCCTCCTTGGGGCACACGGCCGGGCACAGGGCACTCTGAGTAGTGGTGGGAGGTGCTAGGAAGGGGGAGATGGCATCTCATTGGAGTGCTCTGGATGACCAGACACTTTAAAACTTTGTTATTTTGTCCTATTGAGGTACTGAAAGAAGCGTTCAGTGCCCAAGCCATGGCAGGAAGTGTCCCACAATCCATTGGCCAAGGTGGCTCTTGCTGTTCTTAGTCCCCACTGACCCTGACAGTCTGTGTTCTGTGTCAGGGTCCTCAGGGTGTCCCCCCCCTCCCCCGCCGGGAATCCTTTCTCAGCTTGCACCTGCTGGGGTCCAGCACTTTGGACACAGCGGGGTGGAAGTTGAACTCCGGGCAGGCTGGCTGGGACAGGAAGGGTCCGGGAAGACTGAGAGATGTGGGGTGATGGTGATGATGATGATGGTGATGGTGGTGGTGGTGGTGGTGGTGTTGGGGAGCTGGTAATTCATAAAGAGAGAGGCAGGTACAAGGCGCACGTCCTGCATTCCTTCCTGGAGCCCACACAGCTTGTAAAACAAGTCCCCAGCTGGCAGCTGGCAGGGCAAACCTGACAAACCAGCGCTCCCTGGGCGTGGGCCTGCCACGCAGTGGGCCGATGGCACCTTCAGTGCCAGATAAAGTGGGCAGGCGGGCAGGGCTGGCTGCTCCAGAGAGGAGACTGTGGGCTGGGAAGGGAGGCAGTGAGCAGCTCGCTCCCGTGTCATCCCTGAGGGTGACAAAGAGAGTGATGGTGGCTGACATTGTGCACCGTATGGCCAGGCCTCTCTCTCAGGCAGTGGCTGGGAGCTGTCGTTACGAACCCATCTCGCTGACGGGCAGACTGAGGCTGAGGGCAGGAACTGGGACTTCTCTGGGGAGAGCCTCGAGTTGGGGTTTTGAACCCAGTCCTGTTGAAAGGCAAAAAGATGGGCTCGGTGCGATGGCTCAGTGGCTAAATCCTCACCTTGCATGCGCTAGGATCCCATACGGGCATCAGTTCGTGTCCTGGAGGCTCCACTTTGCGTCCAGCTTCATGCTTGTGGCCTGGGAAAGCAGTCAAGATTGGCCCAAAGACTTGAGACCCTGCACCCACGTGGAAGACCCTCCTGGTTCTTGGCTTCAGACTGGTTTAGTTCTGACTTTTGTGGTCGCTTGGGGAGTGAACCAGTAGATGGAAGATCTTTCTCTCTGTAAATCTGTCTTGGGTGGAGGGGGAAGGCAAAAAGATGATGAGATCTTTCAAGCTGGTCTTGGAGCATAGCTGATTAAGTTGCCACTTGAAATGCCGGCATCCCATAGTGGCATGCGGCTTTGAGTCTTGGCTGTTCTTCATTCATATCCAGTTCCCTGCTGAAGCATCTGGGAAGGCAGCAGAAGATGACCAACTGCTTGGGCCTCTGAACCCATGTGGGAGACCCAGATGGAGAGAGATACTTAAATCCAGGAGAGCCAGGGCCTGAGCCAGGTTGAAGCCGGGAGCTGGAACCTCCAGCCAGGTCTCTCAGGTGGGTAGCAGCGACCCAGGTGCTTGAGCTGCGTCGCAGCTGCCACTGAGGATGTGGAGTTGGGAGCAGGGCTGAGGCTTGAACCCAGGCAGTTGGATATGTATGGCAGGTGTCCCCATGAGGTTATAACTGCTGTGCCAAATGCCCACCCTCCCTCTTTTTTTTTTTCACGTTTGCAGATTTGGTTCATTTAATTGGGAGTTGAGAGAGAGAGAAGAGAGAGCAAGATCTTCCACTTGCTAGTTCACTCTCTACGTGGTTACAACAGCTGGAGTTGGGCCAGGATGAACCCAGGAGCCAGGAGTTCTCTGCAGTCTCCCACATGGGTGGCAGGGACCTACGCACTTAGGCCATCACCTGCTGCTTTCTCAGGCACATCAGCAAGGAGCTGGGTCAGAACCTTAGCACTGCTGAGATTGGCACGTTAGCGTCCCAAACTGTGGCTTAATGTGCTGTGCCACAAAGTCATCACCTAGAATACGTGCTGCCTTGTCGGCCTGTGGTCCCTCCTGGAGAGCCTGGACCACACCCTGCATGTCCGCTGTGGCGTTTCCAAGGCCTAGAATGCAATGACACACACGGCAGGATGCTGGAGAACTCCTGCAGAACGTGTCAGGTGTGACCCAGGCGGACACTTGAGAAAGATTTACACCGAGTGGTAACACTCATTAACTGGCTTCCATGACATTGCTGGAGATAACCATCATGGTTGTTAAATCAATAAAGAAAGACATCCTTGGGGGTTGGTGTCGCGGTAACACCAGCAGCCCAAAGGGGCAGCGGTTTGAATCCCGGCTGTGCCACTTCGGATCCGGCTCCCTGCTAAATGCACCTGGGAAAGCAACAGAGGATGGCCCATCTGCTGGAGTCCCAGGATGCACGGGGCAGACCCAGATGAAGCTTCTGGCTCCCTGGTTGCAGCCTGGTGCAAGTTCCAGCTGTTTGCAGCCATTTGGTGAGTGAACCAGAAAGATGGAAGATCTCTCCTTTTGCTCTCTGTAAACTCTGCTTTTCAAATACATAAAATAAAGCTTAAGAAAAGCAGAGGGCCTGGAGTGGGAGCCTAGTGGGTAAGGTCCTCACCTTGCACATGCTGAGAGAGAGAGAGAGAGAAAGAGAGAGAGAGAGAGAGAGAGAGAGAGAGAGAGAGAGAGAGAAGCATGAGAGAGAAGGGCAGCTTTCGGATGCTCTGGTTCACCCTGCGAATGGTCTCCATGGCCCGGGTTTGGCCAGGCTGAAGCCAGGAGCCATCAGGGTCTCCCGCATGGGTGGCAGGGACCCCAGTAGATGGACCATCACCTGTTGCTTTCTCGGGTGCATCAGCAGGGATGTAGGATGCGAAAGTGGAGCAGCTGGAACTTGAAGCTGGCATTGCAGGTGTTTTTGTGTTTTGTTCAGCAGAGTTCAATGCATTCACAGAGTCAGGCAAGCGTCACCATCACTCAGCTCCAGAATTTCGTTACAAAACTTAAATTCTGCCGTCATCATATGCTAGCCCCCTGTTCCTCCTCACCTCCCAACCCTCCAGCAACACCTGTCCCACATCTGGGTCTGTGGATTTGATGCTCAAGGAATCCCTTAGGAATGGGAGCTGTGGTGTCTGTTCTCTGGCTTCTTTTAGCTGCCATGCTGTCCTCAAGGTTTGCTCATCTCTTTCTTTCTTAAAATTTATTTTGGAGATTTATTTTAGTGTTGACTGGAAAGTCAGATGTACAGAGAGGAAGAGAGATGGAGAGAAAGATCTTCTGTCTGATGGTTCACTCCCCAAGTGACCACAACGCTCGGTGCTGAGCCAATCCGAAGCCAGGAGCTTCTTCCAGGTCTCCCACATGGGTGCAGGGTCCCAAGGCTTTGGGCCGTCCTCCACTGCTTTCCCAGGCCACAGCAGGGAGCTGGGTGGGAAGTGGAGCAGCCGGGACTCAAACTGGTGCCCCTATGAGAAGTTGGCATTGCAGATTTGCAGCCAGCAGCAATGCTGGCCCCCGATTTTTCATTTTATTTGAAAGAGAGAGAGGCAATCTTGAGTAATCAGAGTAGTCTTGGTTCATTCCCCAAATAGCTTGAACAACCAGGGCTAGGACAGACGCAAGCCAGGAGCCAGGAACTTCATCCGGGTTTCTCACATGTGTCTGCCACTGGTTTCCCTGGCACATTAGCAGGGAGCCGGTTCAGAAGTGGAGCGTCTGGGATTTGTATTTGTACCCGTATGGGATATTGTCTTTGCAACTAGTGATTTCATTTGCTGTGCTACCACGCTGGCCCTTCAAGCGGCATCTTTAACTGCTGCACCAAGCCCTTGGTCCTGGATGGCTCTCTTGGTTCTGTGTTATATGTGTCTTGACTTTATTGGGGGGAAAAAACCCAAGACGAGGGTGGGAGTCTACCAGCAGAGAGTGAGGGCAGCCGGAGGTTGACCCTGCTAGCGGGGAATCAGGGAGTGAGATTGGATTGAGCCATCTCCCCTGGGTTGGGTTGGAGCGAGTGGGAAGTGTTTAGCGCCAATGGCTGGTGGCAGCTCCCATGGGGGGATCTGAACACCCCAGCTGTGCAGGGCCAGCGGAAGCCTTGTGTAGGAGAGGCCAAGTTTGAGAGAACGCGGTTGGGTCCCTGTGTGGTCAGTGACTTTGGGTATGGAGTGAGAGGGTAGTCCCCTCCCCTACTCCCAGGATTCCCGGGAGCACCCACTCTCTTTCATCCCCTTTCCTCCCACCCAGGATGCTGCCCATCACAGACCACCTGCTGCACCTGCTGAGGCTGGAGAAGACATCGTTTCGCGTCTACACCGTGTCCGCCCTCCTCCTCTCCCTCCTCTTTTTCCTCTTCCGCCTGCTGCTGCAGTTGCTGAGGTTCTGCTGGCGTTTCCACCTCACCTGCCGCCGGCTGCGCTGCTTCCCCCAGCCGCCGCGGCGGAACTGGCTGCTGGGCCACCTGGGCATGGTGAGTGTGGCAGGGTCTCAGGATGGCGAGCCTGCTGGCTTCCCAGGGATGTGATGGGGTGCTGAGGGTGGGGAGTGAGACTGAGGGCAAGCTGTGGACTCCAGATCCCATAGCTGGAGGGTAGGGGGGCATGGAGAGGCAGAGTCGACTCTAGAAGGAAGCTCTCCATGTTATCTGGAGTTGTGTCAGGTGTCCTGGCTGTGGTGTTTGGGATCCTGACACAGGTGGGGTGAGCAGGGGTTCTGGTAGAATATTGGACACCTGTTTATGTGAATGGTTGAGTGACCGAGAAGGAAGGAGAGAGAAAGAAAAAAAATCTTTCATTTCATTGGTTCACTGCTCAAATGACTTCAATGACCTAGGTTGGGCCAGGTTGAAACTAGGACCCTGGAACTCTATCCTGGCCTCCCACACGGGTGACAGAAACTTGAATGTTTGGGCCACCATCCACTGCTTTCCGGGCACGTTAGCAGGGAGCTGGATCGGAAGTGAAACAGCTGGTACTTGAACCAGAACTCTAAGATGGGATGCAGGAGTCGCAGGCAGCGTTACAGCACCTGCCCTGATCCTGGTTCCTGCATCTCACCCACAGTTTGTTTTCACTGTCTCCTTGTTGGGTGCTGTGGTCCCAAGTCTATCCTTGCATTTATTTTTAAAATTTCACACACATCTGTCATATGCAATGGCAGGCAATTTTTTTTTTAAAAAAAGATTGTTTATCTATTTGAGAGAGCGCCGAATCCTAACCACTAGACCACCAGGGAACTTTGTTTATCTATTTGAAAGTCAGAATTCCAGAAAGAGAGAGAGAACGGAGAGAGAGGAGAAAGAGGAGAGAGAGATCTTCTATCCACCGGTTCACTCTCCAGATGGCTCTTACAGCTGAAGCTAGGTCAGACCAAAGCGAGGGTCTTTGGATCTCCCATGTACGCGCAGGGACCCAAGCACTTGGGCCATCCTCCGGCACAAAGCTGGATTGGAAGTAGAGCAGCCTCGGCTCGAACCAGCGCTGCAATGTGACACGTTCCATCACAAGTGGCGATTTTAACTGCTGCACTATAGTCCCAGCAGGCAAATGCTGGCTCATTCTTGGTAGGTACCACGTTTCACCTGAGGACACTGTGCCACAGAGGGGATTTAGATGCAGGACCGAGGCCACACAGCTTGCAAGTCAGGGAGCCACGTCCGGCTCCAGTATCCCTGGACTTGTCTAGCTTCTGCAGCTTCTGACTTCTGGGAGACCCAGGCTTGGCATCCCTTAAGAGAGCAGGAGAGGAAAGCTGGGTCCTGAAGTCCAGTCCCTACCTGCCCGCTGGACTCCCAGCCCCCTTCCAGGACCCGGGCCCTGGACCCGGCTTCCTACTGAGCTTGAAGGTGGACTTGGCAGAGTCAAGACAAGGCAGTGTGGACTTCGGAGCCTGGGCGTGAGGACTAGCCCCACTCTACCCATGTGATGTGGAGTCAGCTACCTGACTGCTGTGTCCTTAGCTTTCTCTGTCTGCAGGTGGGAACTGGGACAGTCTTTTGGTTTTACGATCGATTGATTTTTTTTACCTGAGCTCCAAGGGCAGACGGAAAGATCTCCCATCTCTTAGTTCACTCCCCAGAGGGGCCACAATGGCCAAAGTTGAGCTGATCCAAAGCCGGGAGCCAGGAGCTTGATCTGGGTCTCCCACATGGGTGCCGGGAGCATCCTTCACTGCTCTCTCAGATGCATTAGCAGGGAATTGGATGGGAAGTAGAGCAGCTGGGGCTTGAACAGCTGCTCATAGGGATGCCTGCCTTACAGCCGTTGGCCTATCCCACTGCACCACAGCATGGGCCCCTGTAACAATCACCTCAAGGGACCTTTTATTTTTATTTATTTATTTTTTTTCAGATTCCTGGGGGTTGCCTGGGACACAGCAGGTACTGAGTTGTCTCTTGGCTCTCCACCAGCCGGTGAACTGGCTTTGCTCTGCTATGGATTCAAGCTCAGTGTGGTTAGGTGGCTTGCCCATATTCACAGAGAAAGCCGAAGTAGGTTTCGACTCAAATGTGTCTGACAAGGAAGCCAGGGGCCCGGAATTCCACCTGGGTCTCCCATGTGAGTGGTATGGACCCAAGGAATGAGCCACCATTTGCTGGCTTCGTGGGTGTGCATTAAAAAAAAAAAAAAAGATTTATTTATTTTTATTGGAAAGTCAGATTACAGAGAGGAGGAGAGACAGAGAGATCTTTCATCTGATGATTCACTCCCCAAGTGGCTGTAACAGCCAGAGCTGAGCTGATCTGGAACCAGGAGCCAGGAGCTTGTTTCCCATATCCCAGGCAGGTACAGGGTCCCAAGGCTTTGGGCCATCCTTGACTGCTTTCCCAGGCCACAGGCAGGGAGCTGGATGGGACGTGGGGCCACCAGGACACGAACCAGTGCTCGTATGGGATCCCAGCATGTGCAAGGCAACGACCTTAGCCACTGAGCTACGGCAACGGGCCTGTGTGTACACTTTTGTAGGCATGCTGGATTGGAAAACAAAGCAGCGAGGACTTGAACCCAGCACTCTGGAGTGGCCTGTAGGGTTAGCCTGCCGGGTCAGAGGAAGAGCTGGCTCTTGCCAAGTTTCCAGAGGCTCTGACATGCGCAGTGAACTGGGCACAGCCGCATAGCACGGCTGGGCTCTTGTTGGGGGGGCGGAGATTGCGGGCATCCAGGACCGGGCGTCTCCTCACTGCCTTTCCCCCTTGCTCCCTGCAGTTCCTCCCGAACGAGTCAGGCCTGCAGGATGAGAAGAAGGTTCTGGACAGCTTGCACCATGTGGTTCTCGTGTGGCTTGGACCTGTCCTGCCGCTGCTCGTCCTGGTGCACCCGGACTACATCAAGCCCGTGGTGGGTGCCTCCGGTAAGCATGCTGCGACGGAACCCTGCCCACGCCTCCAGCTGGGGTTTCCAGGCTAGGATGCGACAGTCTCAAGCAAGGGCCATCTCAGTCGGGGTTTTGTGGATGCATAGGAGTTTTCCGAGGCAGGCTCATGGCGGACAACATAGCACAAAGGCAAGACAGACAGGGTCTGAAAGTCGCTGGAGCCCCAGTGGGAAAGCGGAGCCAAGCGCGTTCAGGTGGGCTGTTGCTCACCTAGCTGTGTGTGTGTGTTTAAAAAATCTGTTTAGGAACTTGAATGGCATATGGGGAGTGACCTGTCCACTACTGGCTTGCTCCCTGCAAATTCCCAAAATGACCAGGGCTGGCCAGGCTAAACCCAGGAGACCAGAGCTCCATGTGGGTCTCCCACGTGGGTGCAGGTGTCAAAGCACTTGGGCCATCTTGCGCTGCTCTCCCAGGTGCACTAGCAGCAAGACCTGGGTTGGAGCTCCAGCCTTCTCCCTGTCACCTCCCCTCCTCTCCCCTTCACTCCCCCAGGACAGACAGGGCAGCCACTGCCTCCCCACCCAAGTAGGAGCCGGATGGGGAGCTCCCGTACAGCATGGGTGGAGTCGTGAGTCAGCACGGAGCACCCGCAGGTCCTCCCATCTCTTTCCGCCCTCCTGCATTAGGACAAGCCCGGTTTCACATCCCGGACTCCATCTCTCTCCTGAGGTGGCCACACCTCTGCTCTGGACTTGAACCTGCACTGTGTCTGGTCCCTGAGGCGATCGTGGCTCCTGTCGGTGCCTCCCGACCGTCGAGACGATCACCGGGAGAAAGTAGGGAGAAGGCTTTGTGGCGAGAAAGGAGAGGGTGGCAAATAATTACAGCTTGCTTTGATGCGTAATTGCTTTATTTTTTTTTTTAATTGAAGTGAGTGGCAGGTTTCATACAATTAACCAGTAGTGGACCATTCATGGGGCTGAGTGTATTCACCAGGTTATGCAAGCAGCACTTATGGTTACAAAACTTTCTCATCACCCTGTAAGACGCCTTGTCCCCATGAAGTCATTGTCCCCTTCCCTGCTCCACCCTCGCTGCCATTCCCTGGCATCCGCACCCTTACTTCCTGGCTGCAAGAATTTTCCAATCCAGGAAATTGTGCACATCGTGGCCTTTGGTGCTTGCCAGGTCTGAAGCTGGGAGCCAGGAGCTTCTTCAGGGTCTTCCACAAGGGTGCAGGGACCCAAGTGCTTGGGTCATTCTCCACTGCATTAACAGGCAGCTGGGTTGGAAGTAGAGCACCCAGGACTGGAACTGATAACCATATGGGATACTGGCACTGCAGGCAGAGGCTTAACGTGTTACATCGCACTGTCAGCTCATGATTGTTTATTTGAAAAATGAGAGTCGAGAGGGAGCAGACATCTCCACTCATTGGTTCACCTCTCCAGGAGCCACAGCAACTGGGCTGGGCGAGGTCTAAGGCAGGAGCCAGGAGCGCCATCCTGGTCTCCCATGGGGATGACCGGGGCTAAAGTACTTGAAGTGCCTTCCAGGGAAGTTAGGAGGAAGCTGGACCTGAAACAGGTGGAGCAGCCAGGACTGGAACCAGGCACTTCATTGCAGGATGCAGGCATTGTCAACGGTGACTTCATTTGCTGGGCCAAGTCCACACATCCTGGATGGGCACTTCCTGTGTGCCACCTTGGCTGGGGAGTCTTACTGGGATGTCATGGGGGCAGGCTTGTCTGTTCTCTGGCAGACAAAGATCTAGAAGGCAGCATGGGTTCACATCGAAGTTTAAGCAGCTAGTCACTGCAAGTTACTGCTGGTTCCAAACCCGACCCTGGCCAGCTCAGAACCCAGGTTTTTCATCATATGGTGTTCATAGCTTTTCTATGTGGCCACCGTGGAGAAGGAGCAGAAGGGCTT